TTAGACAAAGTGGGGCGTCACGTGAGGGGTGGGCATGTTTAAAAGTGAGGGTGCGGTAAAATACAAAAAAAAAAAAAAAAAAAAAAAAAAAAAAAAAAAAAAAAGTTTTTTTTAATTAAGAATTACTTTCGAGAATAATATGATTTCCCTATCACGGCTTTCCCTCGGAGCTAAGACATTTCTAAAAACAAACACTAAATATACAAACCTCGGTGTTCAAAGTTTTACTCGAAAGAGACACCATGCGAGAGCAGTCGTGCACCCCTTTGCAAAAAGCATTTCTAAAATTGCTTTGGTCAGAATGCCCCATTTAAGACACGGTTTGGCCACTATAACCACTATTGATGCGGAGGACATCAAAGCGGGTTTGGCGCTGGCTATCACCGTTGATTCAAAAGACGTCAAAAAGGTTGATCCGGAAATGAGAACGGAAACCATGGTCGCGAATGGTATTATGAATGCGAAACGGGAATATTACGTAAAGAATTATTACAAACAGATTAATTTCGAGCTGTTGGAAGGTATTCTCGAATTTCCACTTTCAATACTACACGATTTACGATCAATCGAATCCTCATTGTCGTTTTCCAGATTTTCCATCCTGGCTCGACGGATTGGGACTGAAGATTTTAGCTCCACTTTTCAAAGGTAAAACGTGGCGAGAAGCGATTAGGTTAGGTTCGTTCGATTTAAGAGCTATGGGCATATACCATGCCAATCTGCGAAAAAGGCTACTCAAGCATTTCAAGAGAGTTCGAGAGCAAGTAGGTATAAGTGTTCCGGGGTTCAAACAAATTCAGTTTTTTCTAACGCAATTAATCGATTAGGCTGCTGCAAAAGGAATCGATGTTGTCTCTACAAACGACGTCGGCTATGATTTGACTACAGGTGCGTCAAAATATTGAATCCATTCGCTTTGACGCCTTACCTTTAAAACCTTACCTGCGACCCTGTTCTAATCTGTCTAGACTTGGAATGTCGACTTCATTCACTTGACGACGGTCTTGGAGATTTTGCTCCATTCTTTGAGGGAAAAAAATGGCACAAGATTATCAAAATGAATAATCAAGATCTAATGGATTTAGGTATCAGAAGTGAAATTATAAGAAAAAAGTTGATTAAAGGTTTCAAGTTTTCGTCAGTAAGTGGTGCCATATATGATGTGGCGTTCGTTGTTAAACGCCTGATTAGTGGTTCGAATAGTGTAGTTATTAAACAACGTTTCATAAAATGTTATCTAACTCTCATACAGCAGGTAAACGCGGAATCTCTTTACGAGAAGAATAGAGCTATTTACGAGAGGAATAAAGGTTATTACGAAGATAATTATATAATAAAGACCAATTTCGAATTGCTAGAAGGTATTTTACATCCTTTCAATTACTTTGTGACAAAAATGCGCGCTCCATTTATCATTTAATTAACAATAACACCTCATTTGGAGATTTTCCGACTTGGCTTAGTGGTTTGGGGTTGAAATCTTTGAGTCCTTATTTTGAGGGTAAAAACTGGAAGGTGATTATTAAACTAGAAGAACAAGATTTAGAAGAGATGGGAATAAGTAACATAAACCATAAGAAAAGATTGATTCGACATTTTCAAAGAGTTCAACAAGATTTGGTAAGACATGAATTTTATTTTATAAAAAAAAAAAACAGAACATGAAGTCTCCATTGTGTTTTAATACAGACCGATCACGAAAATATTTTGTCACTTGATGAAAATGTCGAAGAGAACTGTAGCATGGCCGGAGATGTTGAAAATTTCAAAGTTGATCCGAGTATTAGGGAAGGTGCGCCGATCGCGTTTTCAAATGCATAGCTGAATATTCTGGGAAAGAATTAATCAAAGGCTACTATCATTCAGATATACCTTGTTGGTTGAACTCGCTTGGCGACGGACTTGGAGATTATTCACATTATTTTCAAGGTAAAAAATGGTATGAAATCGTGGATCTGACCGGTCAAGATCTAAGCGAGTTGGGAGTTAAAAAGGGTAATATAAGACGACAGTTGTTAGATGGATTTTTGCTTTATAAAGGCGCGATGGTGGGACATAATTTTGTTTTCGTTGTCAAAACAAATCTATCCATTATTGATACGAGGGTGCTTGAAACATAGAACAACAAAGAGGCGGAAGATATCCTTCTAAGAATCAAAGATTATTACTGGGAAAATTACATTACGAAGACAAATTATGAGCTGTTGGAAGGTATTATCTCAATTATTACTTTCTGAAAAATTTGCGGCTCGTTTTTTTTTTACTTATTGATTTCTAATACATTATAGATTTTCCGGCTTGGCTTGACGGTTTAGGATTGAAAGCATTGGCGCCACGTTTTGAGGGACGGGCATGGCAGGATATCATTAAGATGACGTCTTCCGACTTGGAGGAGATAGGCATTCCTACCAAAGGTCTTAGGAAAAGGTTGATCAGACATTTTGTGAAGATTCAAAATAATTTGGTGGGTATTATCTTTGGACATTTTATACAACCAGCCTTCCGGAAATATTTACACATTTACAAATAGAATACGGATGATTCGATAACTGAAGAAGACAAAATAGAAAGAATAAGAGACTCCGGGAACTTTTATGTTGATCATGAAGTAATAGGAGGTGCGTTGGTACGAATTTTCCAGGATTTTAAAAGAGAATCCTTGATTTTAACATTATTCATATGTTTAGATCTGACATGTTGGCTCCATTCCATTGATGACGAGCTTGGAAAGATCGCTCCCTTCTTCTTGGACAAAAAATGGCAAGAAGTAATAGATATGGGTCATAAGGAATTGTTAGAATTAGGCATTAGAAGTCGCAAAATGAGACAATCGCTTCTTGAAGGTTTCGAGTTGTACAAGAGAGGCATTGTAAGTCAATTTAAAATTTAAAATGGTTCGACGTTTATTCTATTTCTTAAAAAATCTATTCTATTAGGTTGCCCAAAAACAGGGACAACCGGTTGAAAGTGACTTTATTCGAGATAAAAGAAGAGAATTTTCTACAGTCCCTTAGGATCACGTAAAATTGACTTTATTTGTTGTACCGTGAGATAATTAAGACAACACGAATGTTAGGATGGACATGACATTGTTCAATAATTAATCTTTAAAAAGTATAGAATCTGTACATACTGCCGCCTCATAAAATTCTAAAAGACTATTGTGTAAAAAAAAAAAAATAAATAAAAGCAAACAGAACAAAAACTAATATAGTAATTCAAGTTTACTTAGAAAACCCTTTTTTCAAGTCGAACATTGAATGTTTTAGCACACCCAATTGTCATGTGCGTAATTAAACATCATGCTTGCACGTGGTAGAACGAAAATATCTGAGGCTTGTCATCACGTGTCCGCTGAACGATAAATGAAGAGGCTATTATATTATTATACATAAGAAACGAACCACAATTATTGAAAAAGAATGAGTCATACGGGCAAAAAATAAACAAATGTTATGAACAAAAGAGCACCTTGAATGTTATCAGGTACCAAATATTAATTCGAAAGGCGTTTTTATAATATCGATCACGCGTGTCTCTTAAGTCGTGCCGGACTTCTTGGAATAACTTTGTGTTGCACCTGAATTGGCATTGGATCGAAACGAATAATTGAAATTAATTCAGACAATTAATGTATCTCTATTGTTTTCCGAAGAATATGCAACTTATATTAAAGCCACTTACACCCATAAATATAAGAAATTTGAATCCTCGTATCATTTTAGTTCTCAAATTTTGACTGGTAATGCCGATACTCATTAATTCTTGGTCCTTCATCTTAATAATCCTACGCCAATTTGTATCATTAACTTCGAAAAACGGTGCAAATTTTCCAATACCATCGCCTATCGAATGAAGCAGATAAGATGTATCTGAATTTTGGCAGTAAAATAGAAATCAGCGTAAATGAAGGAGCACAAAATGAATCGAACAACGATGTCATGCATTAACGCGCCTTCCATCAACTCGAAATTTATATCATCGTATTTTCTATTCCCTTCTTCACTAACACTAATCGCTTTTCCTTGTGGTTTATATGGTAGATATTGTCCTGTTTGTTCAGCCTATGTTAAGGAAATTTATATTTCGTTGAATGATAAAAATCTCAAAACTTTTATTTTTAGCAAACCACTTACGATGGCCCTCTTAACAATCCAAAAGTGTCTGATCAGCCTTTTTCTGATTTCTCGGCTACCAATACCCAAATGTTCTAAATCTCTCCAATCCATTTCGATGATTTCCTGCCAAGTTTTGTCTACGAACATTGGCGCTATAGCTGCAAGTCCCAATCCATCAAGCCAAGCGGAAAAGTCTAGACCAAATTATTTTTTATTTTTTTTAAAAAAATAGCAGGTGGGTAACTAGGGATCATGATATCAAGTAAATAACCAATGTATATGCTGACGACACCTTCTAACAATTCCAGATTAACACTTTCTTTATAGTTCTTCAGATAGTAATTCCATTTGTCAGACATGATCGCTTCCGCCTTATCATTTCTTATCACTAACTCATTATCGGTTGTCGAAATGAAACCGCGGTTTGAGTAGATAACTCCTGTTTTATCGATTACTAAACTCGAACTTGAGGAATTTATGATTGCATTTCTCGGAAATAAATGTAAACGTGGTTTCAAAAAGGGAGATCCGGGTTTAATGTGAGAGGTAGTGGGTTTTTTATAATAGATGTTTCGAATAAGAGTTCTAACACCAACGTTGAGTATGTTTACCCGAGGCTTTAGAAACATTTTTGTATCCGTGACGACAATATTCAATTTTTTTTTTGCTGATAATCGTAATTGATATTAATCACATGATTCACGTGGAATGTTAGATCTAACCAAAGGAAGGTTTTCCGATAACGCGGCGAGTCAGTCACCAAACCCGGTATATTTTAGCGTACGCGCACTAAAGGCAGAAAGAGGCGTTTAGATCTGGTCGAGTAAGTGCTTCTCGCTACTTGTTCCTTACGATCAAACTTCATCTTTTCTTTTCGACAGTTTTTACCTGTATTTATTGTACAGAGGGGTCGCACAAAATTATGCCGATTTTCACGGCGACAAAGTGATAAAAATTTATTTTTATGCGCATACAAATAATCTACCAATGTGTCGCATATCCATTTTTCTATCACTTCTTTCACATGGTCGGGCATTGAGTCTATAAAGTGGAGAATTTTATCAAATTTGATACTATCCCATGCCGCAGTAACGGCCTCCTCCAAATCGGATTTGTTGCGCGATTTTGGTTCTTATGAATCCATGCCTTGACCTCTCTCCACATATTCTCAATTGGACCGAGGTCTGGTGATTGTGATGGCCATTTCATGGTTGTGATTTCAAGCTCAGACTTGATTTCTTTCACAAGTTTACACTTGTGAATTGGTGCATTGTCTTCTTGTAATATATAGTACCATCTTCTGTGATCAAATTTATTGGATAAATGATATCCAAAATGAGATCCCCATATTCTGTACCATTCATATGAAATGAAATTCAAACAAATTGTATCTATTCACACATTCCCATACCCTAAAGTTTATCCTTGCAGCATCAAATATAAACTTTTCCATAAGAGTCTATACTAATGTAGGATTCATCAGTTCAAAGAATATTCCTCCAATCTTCTTTTGTTTAGTTTTTATGAATTTTTGTCCAATTTAATCATTTGTTTTGATTTTTGTTTCTAATAAATGGTTTTTTATGTGCAATATAGGAATGAACATTATTTTTTAAAAAAATTCTAGCTAAAATATAAGATTAAATAGAAATTCAATAACTAATATATGTTTTGACATTCTTTTTAATTCTAGATACAACTTAATCTTTTACGAAATAAATTATTCAAAACAATTGTTTATCACTAATTTTCTATCACTATTCTTTCTTCCCAAATAAACAAAACTGCTGATTTAATTTTAACTATTTGAGGTAGTGTTTAACTGCAATATTAAATCTTTCAATAATTCATGTGATTTTGTAATAGACATATTTTTTTTTATAGTATTTTTACCATATGGTATTTACAATCTATAAGATCTTTTTTATGTTCTTTTGATATATATGTATCAAAAAATAAAAAATTTTTTTACTTAAATACTAAAATAAATTAAACCAAATATATTTTATTAATATATAATATAATATAAGTATATTTTTAATAACAATAATTAATTTTAAAATAATGATAATATAGAATTTTTGATTATCGACTTAATTTTATATAACTCTTCTATATAGTTCATATAAAAAGAAACATAATAAGATATACAATATATAAAATTTTTTTTTTAGTTTAATCTAAAGTCAATGCATAGTTCAATTTTTATAAATCTTATATAGTATCTTTCAAATTTTTTTATTTTATTATTCTTATCAATAAGTTGTGAATTCTTTTTTAATAACATTAGGAAATTTTTTTGATGAAGATCTCCGGAGATCTTCACCTGTTAAATTTTTTCTAGAAATTTTTGAAAAATTCTTTAAAAAACTTTAAAAATTTTTAAAAATTTGTAAAACAAAAATAATTTCATTAATTTTAATAATAAAAAACTTCAAAGAT